GATGGGAATATTCATATACCTCTGGTGAGGATGGACAGTGGAGGAACCTATTTGTAGGATAATTGGGCAATGTCTAATTAAAAACACATAGGCCAGGCCGGGGATTTAGCTCAGTGGTTTCACTGCCGGCTGTGCAAGCACAAGGACCCAAATTCGATCCCCTGTACCAAAAAAAACAACAAAAAAACCCACACACAGGCCATGTCCTCTGGATTCCACTCCTAGAGAAACTCCTACGCACATGGCCACGGGAGACAGACCCTATGTTCACAGCACCAATGCCTGAGGCAACGAAAACAAAATGACCTAAATGGCCACCAGCAGGAGAGCAGATAGAGTGGAGCATGATTGTGTACTGAGTGTTCATGCAGGGAAATGAATGCAGTCTGACTATGACTCCATACAGGTCACTCAAATGTGACCCCAAAGGGGAGCAATGAACTCACCTCCAGAGCTTCATACCTCTCACCTAAAGTCTGAACATGTGTATGCAAACAAATGGTATAACACACTTAGGGATGTCACCTAAATATAGCCTTGATATATACATATGTAGCACATGAGAGACAAATATATTTACAAAATTTGCTTTATAGCTGGGCATGGTGGTGCACACCTGTGATCCAGTACTCTGGGAGGCTGAGGGAGGAGAATCATAATTTCAAAGCCCGGCATGGTGGTGCACACCCATAATCCCAGTACTTGGGAAGCTGAAGCAGGAGGATTGCCAGGAGTTTGAGGCCAACCTGGCCTACATAGTGAGTTCAAAACCAGCCTGTACTACATAGCAAGACCCTGCCTCAAGAAATAAAAAAATAAATTCAAGCCCAGCCTGGGCAGAGATGTAGCTCAGTTCAGTCCCCAGTATCACAAATATATATATATTTTATAAATATAAATATTATATATACATATAGATAAGAGAGAGAGAGAGAGAGTATGGTGGCACATGCTTATAATCTCAGCACTCAGGAGGCTGAGGGAGGAGGATTGTCATGAGTTTGAGGCCAGCCTGGGCTACATAGTGAGTTTAAGACCAGCCTGAACTACACAGCGAGACCCTGTCTCAAAAAAATAAATAAAATAAAATAAAAGTACATAAATAAATGTAAAGGCATAAGAATAAGAAATACCAAACTCAGGGCCAGGGATTTAGCTCAGTGGGACAGTGCCTGCCTCACAAGCACAAGGTCCCAAGTTCGATCCCCAGTACTGGGGAAAAAAAAGGAATATCAAACTCAGGAGAACAGAATATGTGTTGGGAGAGGGGCTGTGTTTGGAGAGGAATTCGTAGGCAGCTTTATGTATATCCGTAAGATTTTATTTCTGAAGCTGCATAGCAGGTATATGGTTGTTCTTCGCATTAATTTTTCTTCTCTGTGGGGCTAAGAATTGAACCCAGGACCTTCTACATGCTGGGCAAGTGCTCTGCCACTGAGCTATATCCCCATGTCCTGAGCCCCTTTGCACTAATCATTATATTTTTTTTTTCTGGAACCAGGGAATGAACTTATGACCTTATGCTTGAGAGGCAGCCGCAGTGCCACTGAGCTAAATCCCTAACTATACTTTAAAAAATATTTTTTCATTTTTAATTTGATTAGTACAATTTAGACTTACATAATGCTCATGTCCATCATAGGGTTAAAATATATTTTAATCAATGAAAAAATGTTAGATTAGGTGAGGAGGGCCGGGGATGTGGTTCAGGGGTAGAGCACTGACCTAGCATGTGCAAGGACCTGGATTCAATCTCCAGTACACACCACACACACACACACACACACACACACACACACACACAAACACAGGAGTGGACAGGCAGCTCAGCAGAAGGAAAGGAGGAAGTGAAGCGAACTCATTCAGGGAGAAGAAACTGTCCTCTTGAAGGTAGGCTGTGTTTAGGGAACAGAATATAATCATTCTGCTTGGCAGAATAAAGGGAATTATTTTTGCCCTAAGACCAGCATTGTGTATATTTGAACAACATCCTGCACTTTATGGAACTCTTCTACATACACCAGGTCATTTAACTGTCAACTTGAAGGACAAATACTCCCATGATATAGATGAGGAAACAGACTCAGAAAAATCAGATGATATATTTGTGGATATTGTGGACAGAGAAGATGTTTTTAAAGATTACACAACAGTAGTGGAATACAAGAGATTTGACTCTTTGCTTAATTGTATTTCCTGCTCTTTCTGTAGATGCAAGTGTTAGCTTACAAAATAAAAATAATAAAGCACAGAGGGAGAAGGAAGAGAGCCAGAAAAATGTAAATGACTTCCTCAAAATCAAATGGTCAAGGTTTTCATTCTCCATCCTGCTCTGAGGACACAAATGACTAATGACAGGAGAAACACAAGAGAGCAGCTAACACATGAAAAATGTCCAGCTCACAAGCAATCAAAGAGATACAAATTAAAACAATATGTAAGAATCATGCCTCATAAATTGGCAAAACTGGTTTTCAAGGATGAGGGTGGGGTGAGACTGGTAGTCATTTATTGCTGATAACATTGTAAATTGGTACAATTCACTTAGAAAACAATTTGGCAGCCAGAGCTAGAGCAGTAAAAATGTTCACACCCTGTGGAAATGACCTGAAATGTGGAAACATTTTTTTTTCTGGAGAAATAAAAGATCCTCGAGTGAGCATTATTAATGTCACAGGGCATCTTCCAGCAGATAGCAGCCCTGAGTTCAGCTCCTTACACACTGGTGGTGGCCTGTACTTCTCTGGACATTTATGTGCACAAATTGATATACAAAAGGGGCTAAGTATGGCTCAATGGCAGAACACTTGTCTAGCATGAGTGAGGCCTTGAGTTTAATCTCCTGTATCAACAAAAGAAAAGTTGGGCTGGGGATGTAGCTCAGAGGTACCTCGCCTGCCTGGCAAGTGCAAAGTCCTGAGTTCTATCTCCAGTACTGGGGAAAAAAAAAGAAGTTATGCAAAAGGGGGAGGGAAGGTTTTATTTCAGTTTTGTTGCTGTTTTTTGTCTTGTTTTGTTTTTACAGTACTGGGGATTGAACCCAGAGCCTTCCAACTGAGCCACATCCCTAGACCTTTTTTATTTTTTATTTAGAGACAGGGTCTCACTAAGTCCCTAAATTGCCCAGGCTGGGCTGGAATTTGCAGTCCTCCTGTTTGAGCCTCCCAGGATGCTGGGATTATAGGCATGTGTCACTACCACCACGTCTTAGAGGACAAGTCCAAACTTGTAACTCTTGGTCTCCTAACTCCCGAACTCAGCCTTTTAATTTTAAACTGCTCCTCTCCTTTTCCCAAAAATATTTGCCTTTCTTTACCTAGATAACTCTTACTCTTCAAGTCCTCCATTAAACTACAACTTCTTCCAAGGCAAATGTTAACATGATGATCATCGTCCTTGTCGACATTATGGGGCAGATACGAGGTACCAGGTGCTATGCAAAGGTCTGATGTGTGCCATCTCATGAATCCTCTTCCTGCTCCAGGAAGGATTATCCTCTTTTACAAATAAAGAACAAAGAGTCAGCGAAATTAAGTAATCTGCCCGAAGTTAAACAGTTTTGAAATGTGGCCCTCTTGGAGGTCTAGTGTGTGCAAAGCTCTCAGTGAATGTTTGGTGAGCTGAACTGAAAGGAAAAGAGCAAACTGAAGGAAACTGTCCTGTAGTTTGATGGCAGTGTGACTGGAAAAGAGGAGTGGGGAGCAGGACTTGGCACCCAGACCTGACAGGGTGGAAACCCAGGTGACACTGCAGAGGACTGAGGAAGGGTGGGGTATTGCCATCTTTTTACTTTGGGTGCCTCTGAGGCTTTTTTTTTTTTTTAATCTTTACAATAAGCCTGTGTGCTTTCATGATTAGTTTTGTTTTTGTTTTTGGTACCAGGGATCGAACTCGGGTCCATGCGCTTGCGCAGTAGGTGGTGAAACCACTGAGCTAAATCCCCAGCCATTTCATGATTAGTCTTTAAAAGAGGCAGTAGAGAGGCAGATACTATGTGATTTGGCACAGGGAAATACAGGAAACAGAAGAGACCCACACTGGCCAAGAGGTTTCTGGCAAGAATGTGTAGGAGGTGGAGGGGTCCTTTCCAAAAAGAGATCCAGGAGGGATACTGTGGGAGGAGAAGCTGAGTGGAACTTGGAGGTGCAGGTGTAGGGGCAGCAGGTCACCTGTGGGCCGTGTCTACCGAGCACTAGGCTCATGGGGGTGAAGTTCAGATCAGGCCAAACCTGTGGCCTGAGACATAATAGTTGATGCTATAAGATTATGTGAAGAACAAGAAAGGATGGTGATAGAAAGAGGACCAAGGCTGAGTATGGAGAGGACCAGGCACATCAAAGGGGAGAAGAGGAGGAGCCAGGAAAGGTACTTGAGAAGGAGTAGCTGGAAGTTCAACACCATCAAGGGAAAAGAGGATTACAAGGAGAAACTCTGCAAATAGCATCAAACCAAGAAGAGGTGTTTATGGGAAGAAGAGGCACACTGGGAATGGGATTCACAACATAGTGGCCCTGAGAACAGATTGTGAGTGGAAGTTTGATAAAACAGGAAGCAAAGGGATGGGTCTAGGGAGGATGGTTTTGAGGTGGAAGATGGTTTAATGATGCCCTGTTTTGTTTTGGTGTCCTTGTGCCTGCCATGGTGCTTGGTGATGATGACCACCAGCTGGAGACACTGTGTGCCAGACACTGCGCTAAACCCTTCCCTCGTGCATCTTTTCAAAGCCATCACCTTCATTCCTTGCTGGGTCACCTACACAGAGCTGCAAGTCAACCCTCCTCCAGTGCTGCTCATGCCTCTTCTAGAAAACCACCAGCACTGACATCTGGTCCCCTAACAGGAAGATCCAAACTCCTTGGTTTGGTGACTACCAGCCTTTTTGTTGGGGCCCTTATTCACTTGTCCAGCTTTATCTCACTCTGATGCATCTCAGCAGTGAGCTCCTTGCCTCTGAGCATGAATTCATTCCTTTTTTTTTTTTTTTAAAACAGAGTCTGACTTTGTAGCTCAGTCTGGTCTTGAACTCATTATGTAGCCCACGCTAGCTTTGACTTTATGATCCTCCTGCCTCAGCCTCCTGAGTGCTGGGATTACAGACCTGTGCCACAGCACCCAGGCAACAGTAAGCATTTTCTGAGCACCTACCATGAAAGAAAGGAAATGAGGGCCAGGGATTTAGCTCAGTGGTGTTGTGCTTGCCTTGCAGGTGCAAGGTCCCGAGTTTGATTCCCAATACCAGAGGAAAAAAAAAAAAAAAGAGGAAACAAGAGCCAGGCTCGGTGGCATATGCCTGTAATTTGCCTCCAAAAAGATCAGGGTGAGAAATATTCAGAGCAGAAAGCACTGTTGGTACCAACTCTCTCAGGTATGCACAACCTGAGTGTGACCAAAGAGTAGAGAACATAGGTTTGCTGGGGCACTGTGAGGGACATACCAGGTGACATTAGCAGTAGCTAAAAGCAGGAAAAAACTAAACCTAGGGGCTTCTTAGATCAGAGTAAGAATTCATTCTAAAAGCGATAGGAAGCTGCTGATATGAGCAGAGAGAGGATGTGACTAGATGTAGGGTTTGGTTTTGTTTGTGGTGTTAGGGATCAAACTCACATGTGCTGGGAAGCACGGTACCACGGTGCTATATCCCAGTCCTAGATTTAGGATTTTAAAACATCACACTGACTTCTGTGAAAGAAAACAAAAGTAAAAATAAAATTGAGATCAGTTAGGAAGCTGCTGTGGATAAGAGATTGTGGTTGTTTTGGATCAGAGAGTGGCAGGGGAGCTGGAGAGGTTTGAGAGATCACATGAGAGGAACTTGAGAGGGGTCACTGGGAGTGCTGGGTGAGTTTGGGGTGAGGGAAGGAGGACACACAGAGTATCCGCAAGAAGCGAATCATCCAGTCAGAGGGTAGAAACAAAGGCAAAGTATGATGAAGAGGTCACTTTAATATTCCCTGCTTGGGCTGGGAGTGTGGCACAGGGGTAGCAGCACTTGCCTGGTATTCACAAGGTCCTGGGTTCAATACCAAGCACTGAATAAAACACCTCCCAGCTCATGGCTCTGTGTGTGGAGAAAAGACAGGTTGGGAGAGGCACAAAGCAAATCACATTTTACTTTGCTCTTCAAAAGTTCATGTCTCCCAGCATCAGCAACCTATAGACATAGGACATGCAAAACAAATAGGTAGGAAAAGACTCAATGTCCGTGACAAGGTAGGAGGGGCCCTAGCAGCTATGAGTTCTGGCCTCTCCTCCAAGAACCTGGGGACCCAAGGCACCAGAGCTGGAGTGGATGGGGCTCCCGGCCATCAGCTTAGGTCTCTCTGAACAGGAAGGTGCATGTGTAGAAGAGCTTCCCCCCAACATGGAACCGAACTGGGGTCTCAGGTTTATAAACTGCTAGAGCCAGAAGGGATCTTTAACTGATTCAACTCCCAGACTGTGGCCTATCAAGGTGAACAGTGTTCAAGTGCTAAACAGCTGCTCAAATTCAAAGCTCAGTCTTTTGACCTCTGCTTCTGTGCTGCTCCCAGGTTTTCCCCCTAACCCTGGGTAACACACAGACAATGAGCTCTAATCAGGGCCCTAACGGGCTTGCATGGGTAATGTAGCTTTTGTGTCCCTTGGATGTCCTCTTAACTGGTTCCCTCTTGTCAGATACCTTCCCAGGACACCCTATATCAATCCAGTGCAAGTCCTTGGAATGTCACTTCTGAGGGACCTTGTTCCCCTGCCGCACTCTCTCATTCTGCAGCTACCCTGGGCCCAAACACTTCCATCCCTGGGGAGACAAGAGGAATCCATGGCATTAATTACCCCTTACCTCTGCTGCTAAGCACCCTCCTTCTCATCTGATGTTTATAAACTGTCTACATACTGATGGTATTTGATTTAGAATACCTGGGTAGATAAAATAAATGAAGATGGTTTACTCTCACATTACCAAAACAAGGATACGAAACCACTCTCAGTTAATAGGAATGTAGTTTTCTCTCAGGTTTCAGGCCAAGATATTATTGGGAAACATTAATTGGCAAGTTAGAGATTCACTGAAGTATTTACTATGCTCTTTAGCACTCTTATTTTGGGGAACCTATACACACTAGGAGGGAGTAAGAAAAGAGCAACAGGGTACATTCCAAAAGTTATTCTGACATTTACAGATATATAGAAATTTCCTATTTTTTAAAAAAAGAAATTTCCTATAAGAACAGGATCTCTCAATAGAAGGGGCATAGAGATCTGGGTCATAGAGGCTGAAATTTAGATAGTAATATTAAAAAAAAAATCAAAGAGTTCTAGTTAAGCAGCTGTTGTGTTATTTCTTACCCCAAGAAAACCAAATAGTAGATAAAGGGTAATTCCCTTTATAGAAATATTCCAACTAATAAATGAAGGAGAAATGATAGAAACAAAATATCACAGCCAAGGGGCACATGCCTGTAATCTCAGCCCTTGGGAGGTGGAGGCAGGAGGATCGCCTAGAGTTCAAGGCCAGCCTGGGCTACATAGTGAGTTCAAGCCCAGCCTGAACTAAATAACGAGATCTTGTCTAAAAAAAAAAGAAATAAAATATCACCATTTAGCAATTGCAAATGAAATAAGGGATGGTTAATGGCTGCTAACATTATAAGAAAAAAGACAACACTACATACCTCTTGATGAACAACAAGTCACTGTGGATTATTATTATTATTATTATTATTTTGTGGTGCTAGGGATCCAGTGCAGGGCCTTGCACATGCTAAGCAAGTGCTCCACCACTGAGCTACACCCTCAGTTCTCTATGGAGTTTCTGACAAATTAATATCTGAATTTGATCAAGTATATAGAACCAACTACCAGTATCAGGAAAGCAGGGGAGAGAGGAGCAGGTCAAAGAAACCGAATAGTGTTGTGTGAGCAAAATTCAAATCTGTGGGATACACTACAGTTCAACTGGATTTCCTCAGCAAGCAAGTCAGAGAGAGAGAGAGAGGGAGAGAGAGAGAACTTTAGATTGAAAAAATTAGTGCTGTTCTAAAGCACAGGTAACAATTCAGCTTGAAGGAAAAAACCTTCCAGTCTACCACTTTTCTCTTTCTACAGTGCTAACCACCAGAGCTCCTCCTCAGCCCTTGCACCTGCTCTATCCCTGCCACTTTCACCCTCAGGATCCAGTGCCCCAGCCCAGGCTCCTGAAAGCTTCCTCGGACTCAGGGTACATCCCTTCGTCACTGCCAGATTCAGTGCTCAGTGGATATGGGTCCTCTGGTCCTGTAGTGTCTCAGACCCATGCTAACAAATCCCAAGAGCTGGTCTGATCCACGCTGTTGGAGACTTCAGACTAGAACTCTAGTGGCCAGCAAGCAAATCTGGCTCTTCTCTTAACCATGTGACCCATAATGAGTCACGTCAGTTAGCATTGTCCTTTTTTTCTTTTCTTTTCTTTCTGCTTCTTCTTCTTTTTTAAATTCAGGCTGGCCTTGAACTTACTATGTAGCCTAGACTGGCCTTGAACTTACTGTGATCTTGCGGCCTCAGCCTCCTGAGTGCTGAGATTATAGGTGTGTGGCGCCACACTTGGCTGGCATTTTTTTCCCTTATTTTTTGGTACTTGGAATCCAACTTATGGACTCGAACTTGCCAGACAGATGTTGCACCACTGAGCTACATTCCCAGCCCTTGGCTAGCATTTTCATACCTTAGTTTTCAACAGATTAAAGATAATTCTGTCATTGGAGGAGAATATGGGACACCTGAAGAAAGAGTCAGACCTTGAGGGAAAAGACTTTAGCAATAATACTATAACATTAAACTTTAGAGATGTTACATTTACAATTTAACTACTGTGAGTGTGTGTGTTTTAGATCCTCACTACCAGCTTGTGAGGTAGGTGAGGTAAGGTAGAACTTGGTGCCGAGAGGTGAGGGTCTGGCAAAATTAAGTGTCAGAGTCAGGACTCAAACATTTTTGCTTCTTAAAGAAACCCAGTGATCTTTCCAACCTACTATCTTGACTTCCCTCAACTTATTTCAATTAAATATAGGAAAGTACTGGTACATAAAATGAATGGCCCTAAAAGGATCAGAATTGCTTCAACCTAAAACCAAAGGGCTACGCTAATCCAGCAAATTAGCAAACAGGACTAGCTTCCTTCAGTTAAATGCTAGGAAGCAGCCCTGTAATATCACTTGACATTCTCAGCAATTTTGCTTCTAGGATTTTATAATCTTTCTCCTGCTCCCCCTGGCTGGTTCATCACAGGATACTTCCTATGCCTCAGATGACAGCAGGCCTACAGAAAACTCCACCACACACACTGCTGTACAAAGAGCTTCCGAGATTCTTCCAGCCTCTAAGTCACAAAACCACAATCTCCTTTAGGCTAATTCTGCTTCATCATGGCACTGGGACAACTGTGACTAAAGCCTGTACACCAGTAGACTGGGATAGACTCTCCATTTTATTAAATCTATGTGTTGAGACCACCAAACCTTCTGGTTCCAGTCTACTTTTCTGCAAATTCTGGACTTGGGTGGACACACTAATAAATTCCTTATTGAGTAATAAGGCTGATTAAAAACAACCAAGCTTGTATTGAGTGTCTTTTTTTTTTTTTTGGTACCGGGGATCAAACTCTGGTCCTTGCGCTTGCACAGCAGGCAGCGAAACCATTGAGCTAAATCCCAGGCCCTTGAGTAGCTTTTTAAGGGCCAAGCATTACATTAAAGGCCTTACAGATGACCTCAGTTTTTTGTTTTTTTGCTTTTTAGTGCTACAGATTAAACTCAGAGCCTTGTGCACACCAGGCAAGTGCTCTACTACTAAGCTACACATACAGCCCAGCCTTCAAATACTAATCATCAATACTGAGCACCTCCTAGATGGTTTCCATGAGATCTGCAGGCCACATTTCCTTCCCCTCTCACTTAGTCAGGCAGCAACCATTAAACCTGAATTTCCCTAAAAGGTGGTTAACCCACACTGAAGGAATGGTTTGTGTTCAGAACACTATCTAGGCCCTTTGAGTTTGTCCTGTTCATTGTAACACCAAAAAGAGAGAACAGACTGGGTTCTGATTTGAGCTACCCATATTCAGGTTTTCTTTCTTTAGGGGATCTGAAGACAGTGGCACCTAAAATTTAGAAGGGAGCAAAGAACCACTGAAGAACATTTCCTAAACCAAATGGGTGTTCTGATGGCACAAAAGATGCGCTTTCTGCCGGAAGCTCTTGTCACATTTACCACAGTGGAAAGGTTTTTCTCCTGTGTGTGTCCTCTGGTGCGTGAGGAAATGGGAACGCTGGTTGAAGGTCTTGCCACACTCGGGACAATGGTAGGGTCTGTCTCCTAAGTGGATGCGTTGATGTGTCGTGAAGTGAGAGCTCTGGTTGAAGCTCTTCCCACACTCGCCACACTTGTAGGGTCTTTCTCCTGTGTGGATCCGCTGGTGCTTAATGAGCGCAGAGCTGTCAGCAAATCCTTTCCCACACTCGGTGCACTTAAAGGGTCTCTCACCTGTGTGTGTCCGCTGGTGCGTGACCAAATGTGAGCTCTGACTGAAACTTTTGTGGCAGTCGGAACAACTGAAAGGTCTTTCACTTGAGTGAGTGCTCATGTGAGCTACAAAATGAGAACTGTCCCGGAAGCCCTTCCTGCACTCTGGGCACTGAAAAGGCCGTTCCCCAGTGTGGGTTCGTTGGTGCTTAATTAAATCCGAGCTCTGGCTGAAACCGCCCCCACAGTCACTGCACCTGTAAGGCTTCACCCCAGTGTGGATCTTCTGGTGGGTGATGAAATTTGAGCTTCGACTAAAGCTCTTGTGACACTTGAGGCACCTATAGGGCTTCTCTCCCGTGTGTGTTCTTTGGTGCATGATGAGGTGGGGCTTCCGCCCAAAACTCTTCCCACACTCTGGGCACTTGTAGGGCCTCTCCCCGGTGTGGGTCCTCTGATGTTTGATGAGTGTGGAGCTGTCACAGAACCTTTTCTCACACCCATGACATTGGTACGGCTTCTCGCCTGTGTGTGTTCTGCCATGAGTGACCAGGTCTGAGCTCTGCTTGAAGCCTTTCCCACACTCAATGCACTTGTAAGGCCTCTCGCTACTGTGAGTCCTTAGATGTCTCATGAGATAGGAACTCTGGCTAAAGCTTTTCCCACATTCTGTGCACATAGGCTTCTGCCCCACATACCCACCCAGGAGCTTGTTCAAATCCCTCTCCTGGGCAGAGGGCCACCTCTGGCCCTCTCCCGGTAGGCTCCCATGTGGTCCTTCCGAGTCCAGGGCCTTTTCACAGTTTCCTCCCCAACTGTGAATATGAGAAATATTTTCCCTGGTCCTTCCTGAGGATGTTCTGTACTGTTCTGCTGCTTCAGAAATGTCCTGATGGAGTTTTGTCACCTGATGCTCAAAGTCTAAAAAATGAATGGAAATAGAAAAAAATAAAGTTAACCAGTTGCCAGGAAAGAACATAAGAAAGCAGTAAGAATGATTAAAATTACTGCCTCTGAGGCAGATTAGTTAATCTAAGCACTCTGCTTTTCATCTTGTGAAAAGTTGTTAAGGGTGTAACTCAACTGTAGGGGACTTGCCTAGCAAGCACAAGGCCTGGGTTCCATCCCCAAGATGAGAGAGAGAGAGAGAGAGAGAGAGAGAGAGAGAGAGAGAGAGA